CACAGCCAGCCAGCTGAGTTGCTTTCTTGATAACTCTGCTCCTGCTAGGTCTACTCGGATCTACTGTGATGTTCGTGAGGCTTCACCAAATCATCACCATCTTCAGAAGTCGAAGACAGGGATTCAGGGCCTCCGATTCATCACCATCCTATGAATAAACATACACCTGGTGAACATGGAGCCCGAACATGGACTACTCATAGACCATGTCATGTGTGCAAAACAGGTGGCTTTCAGGTTTTAATGGGTGTTGTGCCTGGTGTACCTGGAGCTTTAAATTGGACGTTATTAGGTGGAGGATGGTGGAGGCCATCGCAAGTAGGTTGCCATCGCTACTAGCAACAAGAAGGTACGACCGTAGCAATGAGTCTTTTGGATAGTTCGGTTGAGACCTGAGGATCGAGATACTTGGATCGAGTTAGGCCAATCAGTGCGAACTCTCAAGCGCCAGTAAGACCGTGCAAGACCTCTAGATGTTAAGATGTCTGATGTCTGAGCGATTCTTGCAGGACTAATTTGGGGAACGAACGATCGATTGGGGATGATTGGTGTGAATTCAGCCCAAACAATGCCATCTAAATGTTTATCAACATCCCTCCACAAACCGCTGAAGCTCTGGGCTTGGTGCTCACCATGTCCATGTGCTGTAAAACACGATCCATCATGATCCTATCAATGTTCTTACAAACGTGATCATGAAATACCATACAAAAGAAACCCACCCACCTGCCAGCACTTTGGACAAGTTGTTGTTGTTGTTGTTGTTGCTGTCGTTGTTTTTTGTTGTTCGTTATTTGTTGTTTGTTAATTGTTGTTTGTCGTTTGCTCGTTTGTTTGTTTGTTTGTTTGTTTGTTTATTTGTTTGTTTGTTTGTTTGTTTTTGTTGTTGTTGGTTGTGGTGTTTTTGTTTTTTGTTTCAGCAGTAGCAGTAGCAGTAGCAGTAGCAGTAGCAGTAGCAGTTGTTGTTGTTGTTGTTGTTGTTGTTGTTAATGTTGTTGTTTGTTGTTTGTTTTTTGTTGTTTGTTAATTGTTGTTTGCTGTGTGCTGCTGTTGTTGTGCGCATGTGTTTTCCTTTTCAAACATAGACAGTGACAATAACACACTGACTTTTGTAATTTTCCTTCACCACACTGCCGAGGTCGTGGTTCTTCCACTGACTGGCAGCCGTCTTCACTTCCTCGACCCAACCACTCGACCCCGTTGCCCTTCGCATCTTTGTTTTCGGCGTCTCAGTCGCCAGAGCCAGCCGCCGAAAAGAACCACCCAGGACTTGGGTCATCTGCACAAACAGGAGGACACAGGCTGTTTTGTCCGGGAGTCCGATGTTGTTCTGCCGACAAGCCGGCACCTCCACTAGAGTCACCTATATATTGATCACTAGTCACTAGTGCAGTCAACTTGGTGAATAGGGGGCTCAGAGTACTGCAAGGTGTTGATTCATTTTCGGACCAGAATCCGAGGGGAGGATCATCCAAGACATACTTCTTCGAATCAATCCTGGGGGGGCCAAGTTTGCTCCCACTGCCCGAGAGTTTGGGTATGTGGTTGGTGGTCAACATGTCTTATCCCGAAAGCGGCTGTAAAAGTCATTCTGATGGGGGCCCGCTTCGTGCTCAATACATTTCAGGGAGGGTATCTGGGATGTATGGAAATGTGAAGTATTTCAATCAGAGGTGCAGAATGTTGCAAACGTAGCTAGCGCGAAGGCCTTTGTTAACGCTTTGATGACCTTTTGTTGTCTAAGCTAGCCTTGCTGTGAGGAATTTGATAGCAAAAGAGACATGGGCCACAAGCTTTCCAAGTAGAAATGGCGAAGATCTGCTTCCAGTATAGTATACTTTGTATACTACTGCCCAAAAGCATGTCAGCACACAGCCTAATCTACGTCAATTGAAGCATTCCCCCGCAAGATGCGCAGGATTTCATGAACCGTTTCTGGTGGGGGCCCGCTACTAAACCAATACTTAAAATCAACATCCTAACGATTTTGCATACCACCTTTCACAAAAATATTGCTATAGGTTTTTGACCGCTGCTCATGTGCGGAATCAGAACCCATGCACACGGTCTCATGCCAGCAAAACGGTAATCCGTCCAATTCTGGCTGGGATATCCTCACGCACGGATGGCCTTTTTCGTCTGCCATTCGAGAAGACCCCAATTCCGTTTACACCTCTCTGCTGAGCTCGCAGACCCAAACTGTCGTCCCGTCGAAGCTGCAAAGGGGGGGTCCGGTACCTCGGTCCAGTTCTTTGCCGTTTCATCGCCCCAAAAGAATTCCGGTTCATGGGTTCCCTGGTGGTAAAAGCACCTCACGCAGGAAAACTCAGGAAAACCATGAACAAGAGTGTTGCTCTCGAGATGTGGTTCGACGCTCTGTGACGGTACCCTGAAGAGGGAGTGACCGTTTCCGCCCAAAGTAGCACCAAGCGTGGTTTACATGGACCCACCTGCGGATCGTGGGTGGTTTAGTTTACAAGCCAAACAATCCTGAGGAGATCTCAAGGGTGGTTTGCAAGCCTTACATGACATGGTCTATTAAAAACAAAAAAATATCGAATATGGTTAACATGGTAGCAACTACACTGAAACCAGTGCCGGTGATGTGGATGTTTGTCGCCAGAGCCCTTGGAACCGAATTCATCTAGGCCTCATTCCCTGAGGATTCTACGAGGTTCACAGTCGCATCAGACCTCCAAAGCGGACAGGCCACCTACCGGCACCACAAATTTGGTATGCAAATGACCTGGATGGGTTTCCTTGATACTGCACCCACTTTCGCACACTTTCGGTATGGGATGCTTGGGATGCAGTTTGGCTGCGTTTCTTTTCAGAAGGTACCTATTGCAAATTTGAGTTCAAAAGCTCGTGAAATTTTAAGAAGCCCAACGGAATGACCCAAGTACACTCTTGCAAAAAGCTGAAATAACACCCTCGTGGCTTGTAAAGGGGATAACTGCATTTCAGGATTTGTGAACATCAAGATGTCATGTTTTGCTTTGGTACAGTGTATGTTGTAGGCAATATCGAAACGCATTTCACTAAGATAAAAGCGGGAACTCGTTATGGTTCATTCTGTCTACAAATGATATAACAAATCACCAGAAAGGTCATTTCGCTAATCCTGGAGCCAAAGCCAGGGTGACACGGACACGTGCTTCGTCGAGCCCATCGTGGGGCTGAGAAACGAAACGAAACTCAGGCTGTCAGAAGGTGTGTCTCAGCACCCTCCCAAACCTCCCTACAAGAAACATGGTAGCAACACAGCAAACCAAGCAATTCCTTTGTTGAGGTGTCCATGTGTGCATGTTTGCTAAAGGACTGTGTCCCCAAGCAATTGGCTAGTCGGCATCCCCTCATTTGTGCGTGATGTGCATCTTTGTTTGCATAAAGTGTTCAGACACCTGGTTTACACTCTGGCAGCCACACACGATGGATCACCAGCAAAGCTTGCCACACTATTCCATGCCAACTCATCCAACCAGGTTCCCCACCCCAAACGATTGGTTTGTTTAGGTGGACCTGCATCCGTCCATGGCTCAAACATAGGCTACCTGGTGGCTACCTAGTTGATATATCCAAACTCAACCCACTCACTGACCAAAACAAATACAGTATGCTAAAACCTGCCGGTCCCTGGATCTGGGTTTTTGGAGCCCCCCCCAACCAAAAAGATCATTTCTGATCATTTCTTCAAGGTCGATCAGAATGTGTGCCTCGAAGTACCTTGTGGAAGATGCCCCGAAGTACCGGTCTTTCCAGTCCTGTTGAGTCTGAAAGAACTTCCAAACCATCTCTGCATGTCTTCTAGGGCAAAAGGGTGGTCTGATCGTGGTGAAATTTGAGGCGATGTGGGGTGATGTCTTTGGCGATCTGTTCAGTCCCTAAATCTTCAAGGGTAGGACCAGTTCTGCTTAGATTTTTGGCATGAATTTCGGCTCGCGCTGGGAGACTTCCACGAGACCCACAATCAGTGAGATGGGAAACCAAACATGATGATGATGATGGTCTCCCCAAACCTTTGAGCTCTGTGCTGCTCCGACGCCAACCGATCCGTCACATTGTGGATCTGTGGATCTGCGGGCCTCCCCGAGCTGGACTTGGTCCGCTCCGCAAGACGGGCACGACGGGGACGGGACGGGGCACCGGACGAGGGATGAGATGAAGCGAATCCACACGCTTTGTCCGAAAGCTGCATCCTCTGCATTTGTTGAGTTCACCCTTGGAGAAAATGGAAGGCGTCAACACATCTCAAGGCTCCTGTCCAAATCCCCACCTACAGTAACTCCGAAAGCTGCAGGTGCTGACATCGTGAGCAAGGAATTGTTCCGCCTTTGCAGGGGGAAAGCTTAGCCCGAAATCTCCTCCTGTCCGTTTCTCCAAGGTGCCCCTTTTTGTTTTTCCTCAACACCAAGGTTTTGATTTGACCTGTGATTTGCAGGTTGAACTGTCGATGAGGTCGGGGTGAGATTGTTCCGTTCATGACCTTCCCTCCAAATTAAGCTTGAGAAGGTTCTAAACATTCCTTTTCATTTCTTCAATGTGCTGCTAGCCTCAAGCAAACTATTGTATGCTCACGTAGCGTACTTATTAGCAAATGTCTAAACAACAACAAAGAGATGCTCATATACCGTACAGTTCGGAACATGGGAAAACACCTCTTCTCGCGCCATGATGTGATGGCTCGAATCCGGTTGCACCACTGTCATGTACTGTCCAGTTGCTTCACGGATCCACACGGCCAGTGCTTCGCCCAGTACTTCGACCAGAGCCACGGGTCCGTTATAACTAAAGTTGGGTCCAGTCAGCGATGGGGAACTAGAAGCAAAAGATGTGTCTGATCCTCTGAACTGATCCAACCAGTAACCTTGGAATCCAAGCAGTCCAGCAACTTTGGAGACTTCAAAGAAGAACTAAAGAAGAACAACAAACACCTAAACACACCTGCTTCAATGCGCAAAACAAAACACAAACTCCCCATCTTCGTTCAGATCTGGTCGTTAACACTCCAAGGAGATCACGCGCTGATCCTCGGAACAAACGCAGCGGTTCAGACTCTGTTCAGCGGTTCTTACCAGCACCAAAACTGGGAATTGGAAACTGGAAAACCGAATGCCTGGGACGTCATTGATTTGGGATCAAGGTCTTGCAAATGACAAGTTACTCTCACTACTTGGCACTTGCGATCCAACGAAGCTGGTCTGCTGGCAATTGGCCGTCAATCCAATATATAGGAATGTGTGCACGTGGTTTGGAGGAGTCTAAGCAACGTCTGAGAAGGTCTTTGGAGCTCTGGGGTATGTATATAAAGAAATTTGACGGTCCCTGTGCTACATCTATTCTTTGGGTCTGTGCCATCTCCTATTCCATCCTAGCGCTTGGACTAATCGTTTAGACTATGGTAGTAACCATGTAGTAGTAGCAGTAGTAGCAGTAGGACTAGGACTAGGAGTAGTAGTAGGAGGAGGAGTAGGAGTAGGAGTAGGAGTAGGAGCAAGAGGAGGTGCAGCAGCAGCAGCAGCAGCAGCAGCACTAGTAGCACTAGTAGTACAGTAGATAGTAGTACGAGTAGTTTTTTCATGCATCTCATCTCTACTTACAGTACATCACTGTAGACCAAGGCGACACCAAATTGAGTCTTGGTCCATGCAAACCTGCCTGCTTTGTTGTATCCATAATGGTCAAATCTGTATCATGTTTGCTCAACACCCCAGTGAACTAGGACTTGGGATGTGACTCAAACAATGACGGATATGCTCAAACATCCTTTTTGATGGTTCTGATTTCACCCCCGCGAAGCTTCTTGTGGGGCTTGGCGTGCCCCTCCATGTCCATCCCCAAACGAGTCATGACATCATGAACATACCGGATCTGACATGACGACATGAAGAGCCACATGCCAAACAAAAACACGTCGTGAAGAGCCACAAACCATGAATGGCTGGTCCACCAGTTGTGTGGATGTTTGGACCGGTTGCCTTGCGCTCGCCCAACGAAGCAAAATCTCAGATCTCTTTATCTGACTGGTGCTTTGCAGGGAATGAGGGAATGGATCCAATAGAATCTCTATTGGAGGCTCATTCCCTTATTCCCTACTAAGCACCAGTCAGTCATTATCTTCTCCTCAAGTTACAATATGTTTTAGCTGAAACGTATTACATCAAGGACCAACCGACCGTCACGTTCTCTCAACCAACGGTCACGTCGCCGACCAAGTCCGGTCCCGTCCGAGAATGCGGTCCCGTCCGAGAATGCGGTCCGATAGCTTCATCGAGCCCAAAAACAGATAAAACAAACAAATATCACACCCCTACAGTTTATCCTATTTCCAATAACAGTGGATGAATATGGATGATGATGGTTACTAAAGGCCTTGTCCAAAAACAGTTACAATGTGATAAACTGACTGTTACAGGTAATAGGACAAACCCGAACCATACCCTTGGAAGTGTTCAGAGTTTTGAACGGTTTGGTACCAACAATATGCAGTTGTTTGCGAGGCTAGTCATTCACAGTCGCTTGTGATATCTTGTGATTATGTAAGGTACAGTATATATATTAATTGATTATAATTGCGTCAAAACAACCGTGCTTTTCATGGGGATTTTGAGATAAGCTCTGTCCACCAACAAGTGAACTTGTATGAACCTGTGACCCTACAAGAATCCTCCGCCCAGCAAGGACCATGGGACTCGACTCGTCGACGAGTCAAGCGGGTCAGACCCCATGGTTTGGGACAACCTGTCCGCGCGTTTCTTTGGATGCGTCGGATGTGTCGGCTATGTCGGACTAAGACTGACAACGGTCACCAGTCAGTTGACTGAAATGAAACACTGGAGTCATACAAAAACACGAAGTGAACATGAGGTGTTCAGGACATTCCAGGACTATAGGTTTTGCTGGGTCAGACTGGACATACAGTATACAGGGTGCGTTTCCCAGCTTTCCAAGAAAGGTGAACCGAATTGTCTACTAGCTTTCCAAGTGAAATGATAAGAATGGGGACACGGCAAATCAGCCCAATTCGCTTACGGGGTGATCGTGCAGGTGATCCTCGGACGTCCTGCAGGTGGGCTGAGGCTTCATCCCGCCATGGGGAAACCCAACCCCTCGTTTCGGGCAGGTCTCTTCAGGCGGTTCGTCCAGCGGTGGCTGCATCTCTTCCATCTGCGCCATCTGCTCTTCCTCCGGAGCTCCGCAATGGAGCTGGATTTCCTCGAGCTGGGGAGGCTCCTCCAGCTCCTGCGGCTCCTGCAAAAAATACAATCCATTGGGAGATATTGGGAGTGTGTGCATTCTGACATAGTTGATTTGGCTTGGTGATCAAATGTGATCCAGCAAGTGTAGCGACCTTATGATCCTATGAATCCTATGAATTGAAGATAATAAAGGATGTTCTGGCTGTCATTTCATATCTTAACTTTGATTGAGAAGTGGGTTTCGCGTTCACCTCAGTTCCGACATCCTGGCAATGTTTGTGGATAGTTCATAGGCTCATCCAGGAAAGAGCTGCTCTTCCCTCTGTGGATCCTTTAGGTATACGGTATATGATGCATAAAATGAACCAAGGAAACCTGAGACCGTGACCATCCAAGGGCCAATGGTCTCTCACTCCTTGAACACACCAGGTCAATGCGATGCGATTTTGCCCTCGAATTTTTGTCGGGATCTGCGCTGACTTTGATGGGCATTCCTGGGCCACATTCACCTACAATGTCACCATGGTGGTTGTAACACTGTTGTACACAAAGCCCTCAAACAATTCCGGCCCCACCCAGGTTCCGTGGCACCCCAGTTCCGGAGCGTGAAAAAGGCGCGGATGAGTTTTACGCACCAGTCCTAGCACAGCTTGATGCCCCTTCAGCTCATGCCATAGAAAACTGAAAACCCTCCAAGCCATGTGGCATGCATCATGCTGCCAAAACGGTGACTTGAACAAAACACATTTTAAACAGCCAACCGACCGACCAACCCAACCAAGCACTCAGGGTCTTATGATTCATGAATTGTTTTCTGGTCTTTTGCACAGTCTCCTAACTTTGGTTCTGAGTTCTGTCTTTCTTTCTGTCTTTCATTCTCTCCAAGCCTGGACGCCCCCCATGACCGGGGTCCGTCCCTCATGACCATCTCCCCCCGTCCTGGTCCAACGGAGTCGCCACGATGAGATCGCTTCCGGGGGTGATGCAGCGCTCGAAGATGTCGAACTCCCCCGTCCTGGGCCGCGATGACGTGGGAACATTCGGAGCATCAGTCAGCATTTAGTGGAATGCTGAATGATTTGGGGAATTCTGAAGATGAATGAAAGTAAGCTGGGAATCGACGGCTGCCATCAGAATGATTTGGAATTGGCTGGAAGATCTGGTAGATAGGACCAATTCCTGCTATAAATGGATCTGTTGATGGATCTTGTTGGGCCCCTGCAAAATAGGACAGATGCACGCACCACCAAAATAGGACAGCATCTTTGAGATGCTTGGTGTGTTTCCCGATTGATTCACTACTGGAGGTGTCGGATGCGGATGCAACATGCCCAAAAAGGTGTCGGATTGGCTCCACCCTATGGCGTCGGCTTGCCGAGGGTCTCCCCATGTTACACCCGTGCAAATGCTCCAACCTATGATGGTTGTCTGTAGAATGAGAAGGATATCGCGAAAGGATGCTCCCTGTGCTGTGGATCTGGATCACTATGGTAACACATGCTGAACTTCTTCCCTCATGTTATCTTTCAGGTGGTGCTCACTCATCGAAGATTATCGAAGGCCATAAGAGGATGATCTACCCACAAAAGCTTCAAATATAGGGGGTATACATATACTATCGTGGAAGGGGTACAGTACTATGTATCCATGTCTATTATTATCACTATTACTAATAGTCATCAATTAATCAACCTTTTGGCATCTCTTGACCATTTTTTCTGCGATGGGCTGTCCCCTGCTCCAAGCTGGCCATGTTCCGGCCAAACGGCATTTGACAAATAACGTGGTAGCCGAACGAGTTGGACGCTCTTTTGCAATATTTCTGGGTAACTTTCCTGAGTCTTGTTTGATGCACAAGTGATCCGCATTCGCTTCTCTCCAACCAATCCAACGATCAAATGAAGCTGCGGCCGAACGACGCGGAACGGCTTGGGTTTCGCAAATGCATATCCAAATGTACCATGCCAGGATCTTCATAAACCCTGAAAGCGTGTTGCCACATGAAAATGTGACCGTTGTTACTCTACTTTCGAGTTATCAAAGGTCGTCTACCCGAGTGCGACCTTCTCTCAAAAGGTGTTAAGACCCCTCCAAATCACCCCCAAAGACCTCAGGAGGTGCTTGGAGAACACTCCTCACTCAGTTGGAAAACCTGGGATGAGTTCAGTATGTTCAGTTCAAGGAAAGACGGTGTCCGGATGATCCCAAGAAAAAAAGCAGAGCCAGCTGTGCCGTTGGGATGTGGGTCTCCTTTTGTCACGGAGCTGTGTCCAAGGCTCGATTGCTGTGAGGCACGGAGCATCACAGCGGTGACCTCGGGGTGAGCATCGCGAGCGGTGATGTGCCGGAGAAAAAGGGAGACTCCGACTCCTGACTGGTGCGACTTGTCAGGAATGAGGGAATGAGTCACCAAAGATGTCTTTGGACCAATAGAAAAAGACATTAAGCTCCAGTCAGACTGTTGGGAAGTTAGAGGGAAGTGGAAAACAACCCCCAAGGGTTCCAAGTCGGACTCTTCTCCTACCGAACTGCTTCTCCGGTTGTTCCACGCTTCATCGAAGCTTCGCTGGTCTGTGATCCAACATACCGGACCCGCACCGTCGACACCAACGGTGCCGGACGGGAGAGTGAGCGCGGAACCGATGGCAGAACATGATTGACATCGATTCATCGATGGTGATTGATGGTCCATGGTGCATTTTTCTCAATGATTGACATCCCTCAAGTTAGGCCATGCAACAAGTTAGATGCTCTTTTTGATTTGACCGGGGGCAGCCTGATTACGTCGGACTTGACGGACGGGATCGGACGGACGTCGGACGGACGTCGGACGTCGGACGGATCTGAGCACATCTGATCACAAGTGTCTCCCAAGATCGAATCACTGATTTTCTGACTCAAATGGGTCCCCAGGATTTTCAACATGAAAGTAGCATCAAAACACTGAGGTCCAGTCCTCAAAAGATGGATGGTTGTTTCTGAGGGTGTCTGAAAACCCATTTATACTGTAGACTGATATGGGCTTATGAGTTCAGTATGTTCATTTATCGTTCTGTTGCTTTTTCGCCAGGCTCTCCACGTGCCAAGACACCGAGTTCCGGCTGCGGGACCTGCCAAAGTCTCCAGTGGCGGGGTTCTCCTGCACCTCGGGGATCAGCTCCTCAGTTGCGGGGTGGACGGGCGTTCCGAACGAAAGTGTTCGCGTATATGTGCGCGTCGAAACCATGTGCAAATCGAATCTTTTTGGGAGGGGTTACACTTCTTCAACAATCGCTTCAACCCTTTCTGTCTGGAGTCGCTAAGTCTCGCAGCCTGGGAGGAAGCCGAAAGAGTCGTCAGAGGCATAGCCGAAACACCCCCCCGGCCCAGCAAAAAGAACCAAAGAAAACGAAACAGCCGAAACGATGTCGGCGGTTTCAGATGCAGTGAGACCAAGGTGCGGTGGCCAACAAGTCCAAAGAGACGGTGATGGTCCGCAGGTCATGCACCGAGATCTGTTGGAGTGCCGTTTCCTCGAAAAAATCCGTGGTCGAGCGGAGAGTGCGGGAGGGCAGTCCATGGTTGGCACCCCGGAGAAAGAGGAATTGAAAGAAAAGCCTGTGTCAAACAAGGGATTGCAAAGTCAAAGAAACTCCAGCATAGACTTTCATAGAGCATTTAGTTGCAACCTGCAAAGGTTACAGTCAAGTCTCGTGTCGCGTGCGTGGTTGCCTACTAGGCTGGCTCCGACCACAAAAGCCACCACAAGGCATGACTATAGCTCTTGAGATCGACATGGATCAAGGGTGGGGAGATCCCAATGCCTAACACGTCTCTTTACAATGGGTCGTCGATCCAGATAGAAGGTTGTCATCATGTGTGGTCCTGAAGCTGAATCTTTGACACCCATGTTTGACCTCCCAAACCTAAAGACCCACCAAACTCCCAGCTCCAACAACATCACAACCTGGCAGCTGTGAGTTTTTGGGCTTCCAGTGCTCACATGGTGTGTATGGTGCTCACATGCTCAGACCATGAAGACCTCCATCGGTGGAGTCAGGACCCTTTCAGATCCCCCGGCCACGGGCTGGCGGACCCGCGACCCACATCATGAGAAACCTATAGAAACCCGAAACATCTGAGGAATTTGGGTTTCAAATTGGCTCGATGTTTCTTCCATGTTCTTCCCCCTGACTCCTGGTTACTATGACCATCTCGTGGTCTTTCATCCAAGCGTCGATGGCTTCACTCTCCAAGTGGAGCATCGCAGTGCTGAAGAACTGCAACTTCCTCAGCCGAACCCAATCCGTGGATCAAACCCCGACTGGGCAGTGGAACACCAATGGGGGTGGAAGGGGTCATGGTGGATTGCTGGTGGATCCGTCCCATGTAGACGAGATGACAGAACTTGTCACAGCTCCGCACCTGGCTGAGGCCGAAGCAATGACTGGAAGTTTTTTCGAGCTGCAACGAACGGAATGAGGCCACTGAGACATCATCATGGGTCTGCAGTGGAATCAGGAGACCACCCATTGACGGGTTTGGGAGGCGTTCACGGACTGCAGTCGATGTTCTGTCTACCCTATTTCAATACACACCCACCATAGTCCATCCCAGCATCTCAACCTGGAGGCTCTGAACTGATCTCGGATCGCAAGGCATGGTCCATGGATGTTGTGCCATGCTCTAATCTAAGTGTGGTTCTTCTTCACCTGCAAAACCATGCAAGGGAAAAGCTAACCGTTTTTTGGAGGAACACCTAGAAAACAAACCTGGCCACTCTTTCCAAAGAGTCCCAGTCGAACTGCTGACCTGCAGCAAAACAAATCAAGAACCTATATTTCTCTCCTGATATGGTCTGCACACACATATATATATATACTGTATATACACACATGTAATTACATGTATATATATATACAGTAAATTCCTTGCTGTTGCTATTTTGTGGAACAAGGAAACGTGGACGTTCTAGATTATGAATTTTTCTGGGCGTTTCTCCAAATTCAACTCTCATATCTCTCACCATGCCGACTTTGTCCATGACGGCCTCCGCGAGGGCCGCACCCCATGATTGGGCTTCACTCTGTGCGTCTGAGTGTCTCCCGCACAGTCCGCGCGGAGTGAAGGGTGCCGAGGTTGAAGAAGACATTGTCCTCCTGAGCAGTGCAGGCAAAACACGGGCTCGAAGTCTGCTGATGGCCGGATGGTAGTGGTGGGTAGTGGGTGCTGCCAGTGGAAAGTTGAAGGACGTTTCAGGGAACTTGCTATGAACATGAATGAAATTACCAGTACAAGGTACCTACAAGTCGGAGATCCATTTTCATCTGTTTTCTTTTTCCAGAGTATCACAAAGTAGCTGCAAATACCTTGGTCGCCGCTGTGTTGATCCCTTTTCTCAGAATGCATACAGTATGTTTGGACATGGTGGGATGGCCCAACCATTTTTCTGCGCCGATGTTCTGGCGGCGATTCTGTATTCTTAGACCACTTCTGAGTGTCCGACGTTCAAGTGTCCTACGTAGTACCTGACACACTCTTGAGTGTCGCACATGAGTGTCCCACCAGTGTAGTACTGAAGAACTGTCAGGTCATCCTATTATATAGAATAATATAGAAGTACAACCATCTCATAACACCTCTCTGGGTGGTCCCGGTTGAACAAATCGAACATATATGAACATACTAGTCAGTGGTTTCAATCATCCCAAGTAAAGGTTGAACATACCAAATACCTGAAACCACCCAGCTGTGCATGGCCGTGCATGGCTGTGCTCCCGATTTCGGGTGGTCGATCCTTGAACGTCGGGTGGTCTGACCCGGAGGGAGTTCTCCCTTCGTGGCAAATCAACACTGGTACTGCCATGTCCTGCCATCCGTTGGCTGAAAAACTGTCACATGACTAGCACAACACACTTTGTCGATGTCAAGACAGGACCCTAAGAGTATTGAGGACGTGTACCAATTGAGTAATAGAATGGCTATGACTAAGCAAACAACCACCTATTTGGTAAATCCAATCTGCCGACCACTTTAAGGACAAATAACTGTCTTGCAAGCACGAAACAACGAAAGACCAATCCGAGCTTCCAACAGCACCCGACCTTGGTGGTCGGGGCGCGAGTCACGCGCAAGCAGGGGCGCTAGTCAAGCGAAAGTAAGGAACTTGGGCTACCCTGAGCAACCAACTTGAGAATGATGCTTTGTCCAGAACAATCATGTTGCCTCAAGTAGGGAATACCCTCTGCCAGAAATAGAGCAAACATCTTCAGGTTTCACTCGGCGCACAAACATGCTTTTCTTGCATACACTAACAAGATCTAACAAGTATATTTTATGTTTATTCCCTTCATGTGGCGGTGACTTGAACATCAAGACAGCAAGAATTAACGATCTGCGATAATTGATTATACAACACACAACAAAATGCACTCTCCACAAAGCTAACAAAGAACGGGAACAGCAGGGAATGGTAGGCAAATGTGTTGATTGTGATTCGCCCAATTGAGTCATGTTGTGACTATTATTGATCTGTCAGCGAACTTCTGTGCAACAAACGGTCAGGTTTGGGAGCCCATCTTATTGCCAAAGGCGACCCATGTTGATCTGTGCACACAGTGCAAGCGTGCACACAGTGCAACCGTGCGCATGGCATACCCCATACGAACCAGCACATTCGACAGCCGAGCTTGGCGAGCTAGTCAAAGGCCACATGTCCATGCGACGACAACCCGTGGCCACGGGATACAAATCATGTCGGTATAAAGTAAATATCAAATATCATTTCAAATCCGGACTCCATGAACATATATATATGTGATATCCTTTGACATGTGTGAACTTCATACAACTCAACAAGCTCTGGTCTTTTCGCAGTTTGGAGTGGTTTGACCTCTTTGTCTTGCAAAAAGAAGTCTGTTTAACTGACAGGTCTCAACACCTCCAAGCTCCATGTCATATCTTCGTGCAAAACACGATCTTCGTCCGTGGGGGGTCAATAGATGTCAAGACTTGTCACAGACTTCTCGCAGTACGTAAATCTCTGACTCCCAAAGGGTCCAGAATCTCCCAAGGGATTGTGATTCTAAAAGACACACACAACAAAAACAAACAAACCTGGTGATACCTGCGTACGTATGGCTGATCTGACCTGATCTCCCATCCAACTGAGGGACGATGGAGGATGACAAAGAGCACCAGCAGCGCCAAGGAAAGCACCCTTAGGCGAGATCAAAGATGTGGAGGTACCCGGGATGAACGTGGGGTGAACGCGGGAGGAACCGCCCTCATGGCAACTGTAATAGGTCTAGCCTAGGTCTAGTCTGGCCTGTGACAGTGAGTGGATGGTTGAAGCAACACATTGTGTGCAACTAAGCATGATATGTTCCAAGCATATAACTCACCTATATCATTTGCATATAGCGAATTCTTTTAGAGTTTGCTTATGCCATTGGCAGCACTACAAAAGGATGATCACTGTATGTATTCAACATGTAAGTCCGTCATGCACACCCCTTTCCCAGCTTGGAGGTCATCCCGCTGTAGCCCCGTAGTGATTCCGATATCAACCTTCTCCATGATCAAATCTGGGTAGCTTCTGCCGTTCGCCAAAAGCTGCTGCTTGTCAGAACTTGTCAGAACTCTTGACGTTAACCCCCGAGGGTTCACTTTGCATTCAACTTGATGGAGCAACAAGTCTAAGGCTGCTTCTCCCCTGGAGGCTGGTTCTGGGCAGCCATCGGCCTCCCCGAATGGGGCTGGCTGTAGCCAGCGCCATCCGCGGAGCTTTTCTCCCTTTTTCACCGGAGAGGTGCCGTCTGACTACGCCAAACCTGAAATTGGCTGTAGCCAGGGCCTGGACATGGGGATGTTTGACCCAAACTATCTGTCTAATTATGAGATTGTGCATCATCCTACATCCCTCCCACTGATCGACTCTTCCATGGCTGGAATCACCTGCATGATCTTGTCCAAAGGATCTTGTAAATCTCCGTGTATGGTCCTTTCTCTCCGTCTTGGTCTCCAGCTGTCCGATTGAATAGAGGACACAGTTACGACAGATTATATACTGTATCGTTCTATCATCTTTCTATTGATCATGTTTCATGTGAATGTTTGTTCCACCGGCAACTAAAGAATCTTATGCCCAAAAGCAAGCCCTCCCGATGAACCTGCCGTGAGAGTTCAGCCAATCCAGCGGACCAACTGCGGGGCAGAAACTCGGAGAAAGTGTTAGTTTTTGATCCCAAACCATCACGTTCTCTCTTAGTGGATGATCCAAATTCTCATTGCTCATGTCATCCCAAATCGTCCATTGAACCAAAGTGGACGGGTTTCTTTTCTCACCTTCATCGGTGCTGCTAAGCTGGACCTTCCCGCCTCTGGACCTGGACTGATGTCCAGCCTGGTCCGGCCAAGAAAACATGCTTTGCCCCAGTCAATGCGCTGCCCAAGCGATTTCGCCACCGACATGGGCTGTTTGTCGCGGACCCGCAACATGGCCGCAAGCAAAGTTTTGCACCAGCATCCACAACAAAACGTGGCCCATCTGAACCCGAGGGGGGCCGGAATGCTTTTTGAAGCGGTGTGTCCAAAGCCAAATTGACAAACGAATACCTCTGGTGTCGAAATGCATTGTCCAAAGGTCCATGCCCATTCAAAACATGTTGGTTGCAGCCACTGTTGGGCAAACACCCACTATTGCTAAAGTCGAAGCATCTAAAACACGTCCGAAATCCACCGAAACGTATCTGGTCACCAGCGGCAACCCTTCATTTTTTGGGGGGAAACCAACACACCTTCCGCACCGAAGAGATGCGAAGAGGGCCACATGACCACCGCGTGGTCTCATGGTGCCGGGCCACATGGTGCCGAAGATGCCCATGACCACCGCGGAGACTTGCTTTCCGTCGCTGCGGTGTGCGGCGGGGGCCACCATGACCAGGAGCATCAGGGCCAAGGTCATTAAGGCGTCCTGAGGTGGTGGGGTCTGGGGGAAGATAAACAGAGTCCGCTGAAGCAGCGTTACGCTGGAGGTGTCTTTTTTTATTGGTGTCTTCGATCGTTTTTGAGATTGAAGTGGCCTCAACATGAGAGGAAGAAGAAGAAGAAACAAACAGATGAAGAAAAAGAAGAAGACAAATAAACACAAGAAGAAGAAGAAGAAGAAGCGTGGAGGCATTGGGTGAGTTCTCTTGGGAATCACACAACCGTTACAAGGAAATAACAGCGAGTTGTTAAGACATGTTGAGACCTTCAAGTTTGGAAGTGGAGTCACATACTGCTGTAAGTCATTGCTTCGTCTATGTCTTCATGTGGCTCACTCTACTTCTCGGTCGTGGTAAAGCCACACACTTCCATGCACAGTCAGTGACAAAAGGTCTTGTTAAAAACAACATAATATAGTAGAATAATGTAGAATATAGTCCAGATTAGTCTAGTCAGTCTAATATAGTATTTGCCAAATCAAGGCCTAGCTGCTTGCACCACTCACCACTCACAACTGGACAAGATTGGCCTTTTGACAATGGCCTGACAAGACTGGACTCTACCCGTCATGAGCGAAGACCCGAACCACTGGCCTCTACCGGCAGGCCTCGACCCCGTCCAGTCGATCATCCGATTGCAGCTGGGCTGCGAAGAGGTTCAAGAGAGGCACTTTCCAAGGCCAAACGAACACAAGCCTTACACATCGCTGAGTGAGCTCCACGCTCGGTTTTTGGCCGAAGACCCTATAGGGTCGGTTCCCTCCCCTTTTGGTCGGTTCCCTCGGTTTCGGGGTCGGGAATCGTCACGACTCGTGGGGCGGGTCATGGGTGGTCCAAGATGAATTTAGTCCTTCATGATTCTATGGAAAACACAACAAAAAGCAAAACAATTCAAGGAGTGCAACGACTTGACTGATCTTCCAATCCATTTGCTAGGCTTCCTCAGGGGTTCCCAAAAGGTCCGGCTTTCGATGCCATTGAGTCATTGAGTGTACTTTGCTTGAAGCTCCTTTTCCTGTGTTGGCTTCAGAAAGTAAACTAACAGCTTTCTTTCTTTCTTTCTTTCTTCTAGGTTGCAGGCCATCGCTAATAGGTTGGAATCGCTACTCGGGTGGAGGCCATCGCTATTGGTTGTTCTTTCTTTCTTTCAAAGGGTCGAAGTTCAACACCATCGACCTAAAGCTCCAACGGTGCCCCGGATCCACGACCCAAACCATTTCGGACGTCAACCAATGGCGCAAGGGCACTGCTGGTGGACCGGCACGCTTTGCAAAGGTTCGATTGGCACTGCTCGGTTCTGTTGATTTGGGTGTGGGTCAAAAACGTCCAAAAACTCGGTTCGCCTGGTTAACCCTGACTATGTCTGGATATGTCTGGACTAGTCTATTCTATTCATTTTCGGTGGTCAACCAGCCCTTCGCCACAACCTCACTCTCTTGGCTCGGAGCCAATGGAACTAAGTTGATAAAAATCGATCACCCAGAAGTTCGGTGGTCATAGAATGTCATACAGTCATACAAATCATCCAGGCCACAGAAACATATATATATATATAGTCTATATAGACAAACACCTGGAAAATCCTGGAAATAGTAACTATAACTAATACATTAATGTTGTTCTCGGAAGCTTGGTGGTACCTGGTCATCTTCCCGCCTTTTCCCTTGCTTGCCCAGCAACACCATCAGGAAGAGGGCCAGGATCATCGTCACGGAAAAGATCTGCAAAGCCGTCGAGTCCACCATCAGCACCATCGTCAGCGACATCAGTGGACCTTGATACGTACACAGTGCCGTGCGTCATGTAGACTCTTGATTAATATATAACCCCCCATTTTGATTGACAACCCCTTCATATGGGAGGGTTGATTAAATGTAGACTCTTGATTCTTGATGAATCAACCCTCCCATATGAAGAGGTTGTCAATCAATCTTTATGTGGGAGGGTTGATTCATCAAGAGTCTACATGAAACGGGACATTGGCACCTGAAACAAACATGAACGGACTACTCCCTCGGTGAAGCAGCGGACCGCGGGCGGACTACTCGCCAAGGCGTTTGTTCGCCCCATCAACTTCGACAGTCAGTGAGCCCGTAGAGCGCCATGAATTGACGCAATGGAATGTATGTATTTGTACCTATTTGTACGTACCCTGGACAGCCTTCAAGGACCATTTAAACATGGTAGACCTGTTTGATAAAGGCTATTGAATCAATGGTGTTTCGAAGCCTATAGGGAAATTGTCAGACCTGTTCCCAGGTCATGTCGTGCAGAACTTCCCGACAAAGAATTGACTTTTGGTTCATCCACTCACGGCTTTAATCCCCCAAATGGATTGGATAGTTATGACAAACAAGAAGAGACAACTCCAAAAAGAAGGCAGTTGTTGACTGTCAGGACCAACTTGCACGCGTCAACTCTCCGATGAGGTTGGACCCAATCTCTGGAGCAGCGAAATCAGCCGCGAATCCCACAATCGAAAAAGGAATCTAATGTCATTTCATTTGACTTGTTGGTTGTCATTCTAGATCCTATTCACTGCCACATGCCACACAGCCTGGTTTTCAAAGCGCATGGTGAAACGCGTCACCTCTCATGGCACACAACACCACATGGCTGGCCTCGCAGCATCAAAAAAGCTTCGAACCACCAGCAATCCACTCGACAGCGGAAGATCATGAAGCGAAAGGATCTCACCATCTGTCGCCTGTGCAAGGTCAAAACTGCAAATCTGCTTGAATCAAGAAGTAAAATGATGTAAAATCAATGCCAATCCAACACTGTAAATATTGTTGTACAGTATTCATCAAGCAAGGAAATGCACTGGGTGCAGGAGAACATATTAATCAATTATGGTACTATATCGTTTGTTCTAGGAAAGCTCTTATCATAGAGAAGGATACTTACATCACTTCGGCAACAACGGAGGCGCATCTGGCTGAGGAGGAGCAAGTTAAATGAAGGAGTGAGGTTATTGACAGCTGTGAAAATGAAGAGCAAAGCTTCGGACAAACTTGGGATGATGAACATTATGGACATCCTGCAAAGGATGAAATCCAAAATCCAAGCTGAAGGCCTTGACTGATGAGGGCTGAACAAACGATTGTAATCGAGGAAGGCCTGACACCATTGTGTTGCAGTGATACAACCCAGCAAACAGGAAGTAAACACTACAACTGCACATCTTGCATCATATCATATCAGAAATGCATCTGTACACAAGCTTGAGGGCTGCGAGTGCATAAAGCCTAGCGCTTCCCCAATCTTGGCAGGCATACCCTGGCTATAGTGTAAATGCTCCCTGTTTCGTCTCACGGCTAAAATTCATGACAGTAAGCATCGCAGAAGCGACTACAAGTGTCGGGGAGAGAAGGATCAACAGTGCCGCTCGAGAGAGTCTTTGAGCTAAGAATGTTTACATACTTGTTTCTCCTTATCCTCTCCACAGCCAAGCATCCGTCAAAGACGTGGTGTGTTAAGGCTGTGTTTTACACCGTCCAAAAGCTAGATTTTGATCTACCTTTTGCAAGAGATGAAGTGCAGCTAAGAATCAATCCAAAGCAGGGGTAGGGGATGGCAAACACAGTTTCAAAAACAACATCCAGCCTCAACCTTGTGTGTCAGGGGGAGGGGCTTAGAGCATCTTGGGGGAACCCACCTTGGTTTTGAAGGTGTTTGGAGTGGGTTTGGTGGGTTTGGTTTTGGTATGGGTTTGGGCTGGTGGTTGGTGGGTTTCAAGATATGGTTAGACCCCTACGTCTGTATCAAACATGTGACTCAAGATCATGGAATGTGTAAGTTCCAATGACCACAATTCACATTCGCGGGCCTACGGCCAAACAACATGACATGACTGCAAATCCGGGTAACTCATCCGTGGCAGTGAGCCTGCCGTCGTATGGCGTTGCTCTGCACTGTTTGTCTGTCCACAATCAGTAAACATCCGGATAACTGCAGCTAACTTTAGACAAATATATATATATATATACTTATATAGTTGAATGTGTATAACTGTATAACTATAGTTATATAATATATGTATGTGTTCTAATATATTAATATCATGTAATATTTATACTCCCACCAAACACTCCACAAGGAGGACACAGATTGCCCGCCTCTTGTTGGCCACCCAGAAAGGCATGTTGTACGCAGCATAGGTGCAAATCACCTGAGGTTTCTTGGAACCTTCCCGGAATCTATCCATCCTCACTACTAGGGTCTTCGTGAAGTCCGGGTGAAAATCATTGTTGGCTGTTCAAAAGAGAGTCATCCACAAGTACGGCCTAAATAGAGTCTCAGTACAGTACAATTCAATATTGGAACCATCTCATGTTGTTGGGATGTGCAAACTGTCACACATGTCAGGAAATATTGGAATCAGTTTAGACGTCGGTGATCAAAGACTCAATGTACTCCAAAACAAGACCTAGGACCTAGGACTGGAGGGACCTGAAAACTGTGCGACAGGCCAGCAAAAACAACAAGGGATGCATTTTGCGCACGAAAAGGGAAAACAACACCGTCGCCTTGCTCATGTTTGCTCTGAATTTGTTTTTGTTTCATCCAATGAGGGAAGCTGTGGAGGTGTCCCTGCCCAAAGGGATGGTTTTCCTGTGTGTTTGTCATTTCATCAAGGTCAGGAGATGTTAGATCCCTGACCAAAAGGACACCCAACGATGGCATCGTAATGATCAAACCAGCAAAATGACAAGAACTGTGGGATCTTTTGTGCCGTGTGAATTGGACCCGTTGGGCTGCGAGTACATGGCTGGATTGTGGGGATATTCTGTGCCATAAACAGGGCTGAAACGACTTGGGCCAGAAATCGTACATACGGCTACCTAGCTACGAACAGCTATGCAGCAGCTACTCATTGATGAAAGTGCTGGCCAAAAAATAAATCCTGAACCACCTATTCAGTTGGCTCAGTCATTCCAAGCAAATTTTCAGGTGTCTGCATGGATCCATCCACTATCTGTCCATCTCTAACATGCAAACACACACCGCGACTCTATGCAGGCCCAATTACCACATGTCACATCTTTATATCACTCCACACCCCAATCATCGCCCGGTTGTTTCAGGGGTCGCTGTCCATCGGACGCGTCAGGACACCGGTTACCGGCTCCGCCCGCAACTCACGCCTGGAATCCCACCACGTACAAGGTCTGTAAGGCGAGGCCTGGCGGAAGATTCCAAAGCGAGGCCTGTACCCCAAAAAAGACTAGGCCACAAGATTCGACATGTTTCAGTAAAATTTGAACATATTGGAGATGCTACATAAAGCCCAAACCAGAACGCTTATGTGCTTTGAGTTTTTCTCTGCTTGTGCCGCCAATCTGCTTTGCTGTTCCGAGGATATAAAATTCCTTTACTTAGAGTTTTCCACGGCGATTTGGAAGAAGGGGTTTTACACTCTTGTTGCTTGTTCTGGCATCAACTCTGGTATGTGCTCTGACACATCACAAATAATAAAGGCTGGGAATTATTTGAACTGTGTTCTGACGTCCCTGTTGGTATGTGTTCTGACATTTGTACTGCCGTGAAGTCTGGCATGTGCTGTGGCATTTGGTCCGACTTTGGTGCTGATATGTGTTCTGACATTTGTTTTAGTTATTTGCCCTGCCATCAAAGAAATATCAAAGAAGTGTTTATATATATATATATAGGCATTCTATCTGAATGTTTTAGTCTGGCATTCTACTCTTCTGGCGACTTTCTGGAGTTCTAATGTTCTATCTGGTTCAGGTCAGGCACTGCGATCTAGCGCTCGCGGTGGAGGTCCAACGCAGCCCGCTGCGCTCTACCGCTCACGGTCGAGGTCCGACAGTGACCCCACTGCGCTCTAGCACTCGCGGTCGGGTGCCCACTGCGATCTGGTACTTGTGGAGGAGGAGAGGAGAGGACATCTCTGATAACATCTAACGACCCTCACCTGGCAAATGGGACAAAGAACTACTTTTGAAAAGCAGCTCCCATCAGCGCCCAATTTCGGTGCCCAGCGATGTACATTGTCTTTTCAGAGTGTCTGCAGAATCTCACGAGGTAAAGCTCAGTGCGCAGGGTTTCCCTGGAGCCATTCGCGGGTCCCAGTCGGGGCTGCGTCCGTACACACCTTCATTTGGCTGTGAATCGAAACCTTCCCCACCAAACCATGGCAGGTTGACATCCTAATTATCACGGGATCTGTTCATTTGACCCGGGGTCAAGCAGGGTGCGGTGGACTGACCTACAGCCGTTTATTTGTTTCCATTGACCTACAGAGACAGACATCGGCCTTATGGCTGTCTGACATCGGTCACATCAAGTGTGCTTCTCTTCCGAGCTTTGGGACGTCGTCAAGTTGATCCTCCGATTGCACGCGATGGTCAGGACCATCGTGCTCGTCCTCCGCAATGTCGGACCATCGAATCCACGGTGCAAGATCAGCCTCCACTGCCAAAGGCCACAGCAGCCAGCGGCGGTTCAGCGTGGATGTCTCTGTCAAGGCCAAGGACGCACATCTCCAAGGTGTGTGGGTCGAACACACGCAAAGGTGGGTCGACACTGCACGCATCATCGTGCATCGCCTCCGATGAGTTTCGTGGAGTTTCTCTTTGGATCCACAACCATGTGATATGATTGCAATGCATCAACGCACAGCTCGCATTGGATTGCAATACCTCCTTTCAACAAATGGGACATCCGAATCAAGTCAGCGGACTGGAGTGCTGCACAATGCTGCCATGCGGCCACAAACAGCGTTTTACTCCATGTAAAGCAGCAAGCATCACCTTCAAAGCATCACCGTGCAAAGATCTCGTTGCAGCCTTTTTGGTGGAATGAAATGACTGTCCAAAAGACCCAAGTCCAGGGGCCCACGGGGGCCCGGGGCATATGGAGCAGTCAGCCAGAGAGAACTGCCTTTCAGTTGACCAGCAAATGGCAACCATCCAAGTATCTCGACCATCCATAATCGAATGTTTGACTAGGCGAGCCAAGTGCCTTGGACACTGCCCCCTTGGGGCTGGTAGATCATGGACAATATACTAAAACATACGAGAACCCAGCATCTGAATGTAAAATTAACATGTGGCGATGGCAAATTACATAAAACACATCCAAACCTGCCGCATGGAAATGAGCCTATCCTGGAAACACTTATTATACAATGTGTTGCAAATTCAACACGCAACCACCTCAGAACTCGGAACAAAAAAGCAATAATCTTGCATCGCAGTTTTGTTTCTTCTCTACTTTTTGGGAGAGGATGGAAGAGTCGCTGTACAGTGTACAATGATGTACATGCCTCAATTGAATGGTGACGAATCGAAATCTCCATCAAACCTCCCATCACCAAGGTCGACCCGCTTTCAGGCCCGTACCGATCGTCCGCATGATGTCAGCTTCTGCGTCGTCGCACAAGATCTCCGGGAAGGCTTGCACGCTCCTCGCGGTGTTGCTTCAGCACATGTGAGACAGAATCCAGAATATAGTACATGGAAATACATGGAAGTCGATGGCACCCCTTGTTTGTAGAGGAACATGGTCTTCCAAGCGGGCCACTTTCCACTTCCATGTTCGTTCCAGGGAGTGTAATCTTATTCAACACTGACTGGGGACACGTCAGTAACATGTATCCCCATGACCATTGGTTACCGGTGTGTTTTTTTTGAAAGGTGGTCAAACAAAGGTTCAGTTTCAGGGTCTATGCATTGTCTTTTGGGTGCGTTTCAAGTTGTCTCTGATGTTCCCACGTGGTATAGGATACAGCGAGGGAAATCCAAAATAATGTCTGCGCTGCATATCGTGCAGTGTGCGTGATGTAGATTGCATAAATCTAGCAAATCTTCTACAAGGCCACTTGGAATCACTTGGATGAAATGCTCAAATGCAGGTCAAGTCTTTCCCCAGGCCAAAGGGATTGTCAAGCATCTACTCTGGAGTCTTGCAGCAAACACCCCTCGGCAGGCAACAAATGAGCTTGTTTCGGAAAAAAGGTGCAAACTTCTGAACTGGTCATATTGTCACAATCCAAGCGCCACGGGGCCTCCTATTTCGCCAAACAAAAAAGAGCTGCACATGCTGCCTCAATTTCGGCACCGGCAGGACCTCCTGTTTTGGGATGTTTGGGGTGTGCTTGGACTGGACTGGACACCCGAATCGCGGTCTCTCCGCGGCCCGCAGACGCGGCCCGTCCTCTTGTTGTTGGGATGCAAGAAGCAAGTGAAGGGTGCATTTGCCACACAGGACAAGGTGGTGTGGGCCAAGAGTGTCAAGGAGCCAATGGTGCCTGTTCGAACAATCGAACAGAGCCGGAGGGACTGGTCAAACGAGGAAGAGGGACCCCGGAGAGACCCTGGAGGAATCCGGAGGGACTCTGGAGGGACCCCGGAGGGACCCCAGGGGCCCTGTTTAAAGGGAGATCATTAAAACAACAAGGTTTGAAGAACCAAAACTGGAAACTGTCATGGCACTCAGGACATCATGTGCTATTCACAGGTGATGGATGGCAGTTTGTGTGCAACATTGTGCCACTGTCACACGTGTTTTTCCTCCTTTACCTTCCGATGCCAGAATATATCAGTCGGGTCAATGATGAACGGACACTTCCGATCTCATGATGAGTCTTTCACACTTTCTTGAAGGTAGATAGCATGCAAAACAGCATACTTGATTCTATCTCTGGTCTACGTCTCATAGCTAAAATTTGAACATTAGAGCTGTGAGTATAGCAACCTGATCCGGTGAAGTTCCTGAGTGTCATTGTGGGTATGCCAGTTTCACTGGCATTGCGGCATTCCCAGAAAGGGACCCCTGACTCAGTTGAAAAAACACTATTCACATCTATTCACTATTCACTTGACCCACTTGATGCTGCAAGAAACAACTCCCTTTGCATCCCAGTCGACTCCCAAGTGACACCTGAAGACTATGAACAGGAGTAACTCCACCAGTTACCACGTGAACCCAATTGGGTTGGACGTTCGAGCTACTTTTTGTTTGCCCTTTAACGTTCATCTCAAACGACCCCAAACACGACACATGCGCTGCTACCGAGGACAGCACCGAAGCGTTTCGCCTTCAGCGGTGGTCTCGCCGTTCCGCGCTTTCGCCCAAGCGGCTGGAGACGCGAACAGAGGTCCAGCGCCGAGACTCGCCGAGGAACAGGAAAGTGAGGTAGCCAAACATGATCAGCCACAACCTGAAAAAAGAACGGCCAAACAGCCCGGTCGGGTGTCGGTCGGGACCGTGGGTCGCCTCCAAACCGTGTGGGCGACCGACTACGATGGAACAAGTCCGCTGTGAAGGCGCCTTCACGGTCGGAGAGGGATTTCGGAGCAGGGATCGAGTATGTAAGTATACCACAGCTTGCTGTCCATGAGACGACTTGAGAGGAGGGAGACACGAAAGGTAGGACAGCGGGAAGAGAACAGAACGCGAGAGGCAGGAACAAAAATGCAATGTTCGACATGGTGATTTATCCCCTCGGAGGCGACCTTTCGTAAATATATGTTCATATGCACCTTAAATGTTCAAACATGTGCTCTCGAAATGTTCAAAAAGATTCTTAGGAAAACAAACTTGCCCCATGGCTCAGATCATCGGTGAGCATTGAATCGGAACATCATAGGATTTGAACTATCCTGAAACCATAAGAGGCTCACGAAGACGCTCCCCAGGAGAGAATTGACGTGCTTCACAAAACGTATCCCCTCGGGGAACACCTTTCGTGATTAGAATTTCATATTCACTCTTTCTAAATGTTCAAGAGGGTTTCAACTATCCTGAAATCATGAGAGGCTCACGAAGACGTTCTCCAGGAGAGAATTGATTTTAGAGGGGGGGAGGGGGGGGGGGTCTGAATTGAGCGATCAATTATTAGACCCGGACGTCCCAACACTTGCTTCGCAAGACAAACTCAAGGTATCCCCTAAAGGGCTACCTTTCGTGAACAGTCGGTGAGTATGCCTCAAGTAGATGTAGAAGTATACCCGGAGCAATGCCAGCTTTAAAACCTTTAAGTTCATCTCTTTCTTCATTTTCACACCTTACCAGTGAGCTAACTCTCGAGTCTCAAGTTGGAGTCTTTAACATCCACTCTGAACAAGCCGGAGCCTGGGAGACCGTCTGCATGGCAGACCTTCGCGTGAATGTCTATTTGAATGACCGGATTGTCATAGTCAGTTCTCAGTTGGCCCATGAAAATGTGTCAGCCCTCCGCCCCGGCTGGTCATGGATAAAACAAAACAGCCTGTTACATCCTGTTACACTCCGACTCATTCAGATGGAGGAGGAAACCACCCTGCTTGTAGAGGAAAGTAGTCTTGCCATGCAGGATTACCACATTCAATCGGCCAGTTTTCGTTCCTTCTCTTGAAGAGTGGAGTTTTGACAAACGGCATGCATTTCAAAACACAGTTCGTACATATACACTCAGTCGATGCAATCTGGACACTCTTGTGCCCGACTGCCAATGGCCAAATCGTCCATCAACAAATGATATGCGGTGCCTTCTTTCTGTTCTTGTTTTTCGAACCACCCAGCGCCGTCCCTCCGTCGGCTCCATCTTACGGTCGCCAGGGTTCTGTGCAAACGGCACCAGCAAAGTGATGAACCTGGTCGGAACCGCTGGTCAGTGGGCGAAAAACGCACTGATTTTTTGCGCAGCGCATGCAGGAGGCATACAGGATTCCGGGCGAAATGAAGCACCTGAAGCACCTGCAAAAAGAAAGAGGTGTTTCAAAGACTACAACATGGCCGGACGCTGCATGCGCTGCAACCCCAAGCAACTGGGAGTGTACGACAGGCCGCCAAAATCAATAATGCTACCAAGACTTTTAGGTCTTGCACCACTTTGGCGACACAAAGTGAATTTCTAGGGCAAAGGCCGGCCCCAGAATGATGTTTGCAACAAGAACCATCAATCTCCAGAAAACATTGCTTAATCAGCCTTTCCATCAAACCTGAGTTTACCAAGGACATAAAGAACCAATTTCTTGCAAGCCAACTCGACTCTTCTACCCTAAGAAGTACTGTAGAGACCACTGCCAAACCCATCAGCTTCATGTTTAAAAGGTCAAGTTCATACTCACACACACACACAAACAACAACAAAATTTATCCAGCACAGGAACCAGTGCATCCCTCAATGGGTCAAGCACTCAAGCAAGGCATCCCTCAAGTAATGCCCTTTCTCAATTTCAAACACTTTATATCGTGGACTTCCCTTGCTTGCTATAGACATTCTCTCATATTTCCTATGAGCAGTGAAACTTGTTCATAGACCAACTCTACCCTACCCCGTTGTTAAGGTTTAGTGCGTCGTCCCATGCACCAAGAACTGCAAAACCATGAGTTCTTGGATCCTTCCACCTCCCGAAAGACTGGCTCCATGACACACACACACACACGAGTCCAATCGATCGCTGAGGTGCAAATAGCTACTGATGGTCCGGTTCCCGACCACACAGCGAAGCCCCCAGTAATCCAGGTCCAAGATGAAGAGCTGCGCATTGCTGAAGAGAATCTGAGCAGCACAGGCAGCGGCGCAAAGCGGCGCGCAACGGCGTGGTGGCCAACTAAGAGGCCCAAGCCAACGGAGTGTGTCCAAATGCAAAGCAATTGGAAGAGTAAGTGAAAACTATACACTAAGACGTACTAATAAGAAATATACTAAGCAGCTCTAACATATTAGGCATACCGGCATACCCTCATGAAAAAGCTACCGGATTTTATGCCGTCCCTGATGCCTTCCATGCCTGAGGCAGCTTCTGACAAAGCACAACATGTCTTCAAGCAATCCCAGATTCCAGCAAGACTCCTACACTCCATGTAACAAACCTACAAAGAATAGAGCACTTCAAGAGTTAACGGAAGCCGGCGCTGAGTTCCTTCCGGGGAGTGTTTTTGCTTCCCATGCGTCCGACCGTATCCACCCGAATGCCAAACTTGTTGTAGAGTCGACCTCTCCACCACGTCCCCACCGTTACGGGGCTGGCGAAAGAGTAAAAAACATCCAATCTGTTTTTAACCTGAAGCCTCATGCAAATGCATGCAAATACAAATGCATATTAATATATGTATGTTGCGTGTGAATCTGTATTGTAGCTATTAGGCTAATACTGCACAAATGCTCTAGCTCACAAAGTTCCTGAGTCTACAGGTGAATCTCCAAGCGGCTTCCACCTCTTCCGGCCATTCCACGTCCACTAAACCTCGCAAAGAGCTCAGCTCGCTTTGTCACATGGATTTCTGCGGAAAACATGGCAGACTCCCTGCCAACCCCCTGCAAAGTAGGACAAACATGATCGGTACCGGTGAAACCTCTTAATTGGGGTCCTTCATTCTGAGAGGATCTCACATATTCCGACGTGCTCGTTCTCTGAAAACAAAAAAGTGCAATGAAAGCCCCTTTGCCGCTGGTCTTGTCAAGACAAACAAGGGCTCTTGGCAGGTATTAAAAAAAGAAAACATGCTTTGTCAAATATTTTTTGATGCTCTGGTACATTCTGCAATCGGACAAACTGGGCCCTGACTGTCTACTTGACCTAGAGTCATGAAGTAAATAAGCAGCGTTAATCAAATTTATTCAGGAAGGGTATTTTTGACAAACCGGATCTTGTTCTTCAAGCAACATCAGCTGGCTTTAGCTTCATCTTTTAAGCCAGCAACTTAAATATTGACCTGCTCCGTTCTTGTATATATATATATACACACAGTGTTTCACCAAGTTCTGCAGTCGCTCATACTGCCAAACAATTAACGAGTAGCTCATGACTCATTGAGATCATGGAACCGATTGCTACTCATGGTCATCTTTTAAACACACATGATGACTGTTCATGGCACACCGCATATGCATGGCAAAGGCAGCGATCCAGCCCACTTGCCCAACATCCCAACTCGCTTCGAGTGGCCGATGATTGCTACGATCTGAAAAACTCCGATCATGTTGAGCTGGATCATGCCTTATGGCGACCGTTCGACCCGAAGCAAGAAACTTAAAACATGGAAAAACCTTGGCAGTCGGAATGAAACAAAAACAAGAACCTCAAACGCATTGTTTTGCCGAACATCAGGTCATGGTTATTGGATGTTCTTGGGTTCGGCAGACTCATGGGTGAAACATCAAGAAGTTGAGACCCCCACTTGCGCCACTTGTTCTTCTTTCATCCCTTGGGAGACTCTACTGAGTCCAGTTCAGCCCCTTGGAAACCACTCCTTTTCGTTTCCAGGGCAGAGAGACTCGAACGACGGGAAGACACGGAGCGGCGGCCGAGCGGAGCGTCGGCAGTGGCCCGGTTGTGTCGGTTGATCTGATGTCTGACCTTGCTCCGCCACAAAGCAAGGGGAATGACCTCAGCCATCTTAACTTGAATACTTTGGAGCGTGGTACGGCTCCTGGGCAACCACGCTCCTGGTACGCTCCAGTTACGAGCTCTCGTCTCACGCGTTTCTCATGCGGGTCGGCAAAACGTCTCATCTCCAAGATGCTGATCGCCTCAGATGTGGAGGCCTTCGGAGAAACCTCGTTGCTGACAAAATAGTAGCTGCCCGTCACCAAAACGAAGACCAAAACGATTCCTCAGTCATGGATGTTCCATGCTGCGATGCTTTGGATGAGCTTGCTGCTTGCTTCATGGAGGCCTTCACATTTGTATACAAGCTAAATCCAACTTGTGTAGTGCCCTGTCTTGATATGACATGTTCCTGCTGTATTCCTTCCTCTAGCTTCTTTTTGTTTATCCCTGCCATCATACATTTCTAGTTGTCTTCATTGCTGGCCTTGCTTCCATTTCTGTGTAGCTCTTGCTGTATTTTTTTATCAGCCTGATGTCATTACATTGCAGAATGCAACCATCAGCTGCTTCTCCCAGTGCAACTGCTCAGCAACAATTGCACGGACAACTACTCGTCTGAAGCGAGAAGCCAGTCCTAGAACGCATGACAAGCTCGTATACTCAAGGCACCACCTATCAAACTTGGATGTAGCCAAGCGAGGATGTCGTGGAGTTCCAGCTTGACCGGAGCAGCTAGGCAGTCAACTTGACTGCTGAAATTTGACAGGTCCATGAGAAGGACCTGTATTTTTCATGCAACATTTCTGACAGAAAGTCACTTGTTGTAACCAACCCAGAACTCGTCCCGGTTAATCATTGGTCCTCCCACTCCTCCCACGGTCTTCGCGGACTTCCAGGACTTATCTTTCAATTGATTCAACTATAACTATATCCTCTTAAACCTGAAGTAGGGTCAGAATTCATTGTGTGCGGCTGTTGCATCGTCGTATTTGTGAGTCCCCTATCGACCTGCCCGGATCTCAAAGCACTGGCAGGCTGCCCCGTCCGTCCAAGCAGCCAATGGCCCAGATCACCAGGAACCCCGCTGAGCAGTCTCGACACTGCCCTTGCAACCAAGTTTTACCTGTGACGCATGACGCTTCGTCACGTCACAGTCCACCTTGCATTCGTCACGGTTCGATCCTGTTAGCAATGGAGACAGTTATTTAAACAACATGTGTAGTGTTCCACCAGGGTAGTTTCTCAAGGGAGTTTAAACTACAGTAACCATAGGATTACAATGTAATACATTTTAATCATAGACTTCTCACCCTCATAGCAGAGCTTTGGAACTAAACGCCGCGTGCTGAGAAATACGGTGCACCCCAGTCACCAATCGGTCAAAACATGTCGTCTATACCTGAGTTGGGGGGACTGCTGGTTGAGTTTGTTTTCGCTATAATGTAGACTCTTTATTAATGACACCCCGCCTTTGGATTGTAAAACCTCTTCTACCCCACTCGCCTTCCCATCCGCGAACGAATCCCCTTGTGGGATGGGTAAAACGCCACCGTGGATGACGGATTGTAAACCTCTTCACATGAGAATGTTCTGCATCAAGAGTCTACATATGTCTACATTAGTTGCCTTAGCTAGCGTCGCTACCACCTAGCCATGGCGACTCGATCTTTCACTCGACTGACTCGACTGACGCCAATCACCCTCCATCCGGTCTTCAGCCTCGCCTTCAGGGCACTGCGCACAGGAGGAACCAATTCGGCCCCCGGCACATTGGCCCGGCACCTTCGAGATGCGGAGATGCGCGGCGCTGAGCGGAAGGGCCAAAGAAGGCTCCCAGGCAGAAAGGAAGAAACCCCGACTTGAGAATTGAACGTCACAAGGTCATCCATGTGGTAAAGATTGGTAAAGGAAGATCTTTAAATGAATTATGCATAAAATATCAGAATCATAATGGATTTTCCTTTGTTGTGGCAATGTCATCCGTTTGTTCATGTTTGTTTTTAACAAACAGGTACACGCCACACCTTGAGATCAATCCGTTGTTTTCAGTTCTGAAACCTTCTTCACCCTGGCCGAATTGAGTTTTGAACTCTCTATGTATCTTAGGTATTGAAAGACCGTCACCATGATGTCCAATTGCACCCATATCATCCTACATACATATTCACGACCTCATATTTCAAGCAAACAAATGTCACCCGCTGGTTGACACCCGCTGGTCGACATGTACCCCCACCCCACAAAGGCAACAGGAAAGGCTAAGTATAAAAGTGTTGATTTGGATTTCATGGTCCCACATGTAAGGGACGGTGAGACGGGAGTGGGAGGGTTGTTCTAGAAGGGAAGTCAACATACGGTTTGTCGGATACTAAACATAAATGGCGATGTAAGACTGCAAACGCCACCAGAACACTACAAGGTTCTGACTTTGGAAAACATCCAAGGGCACCAACACATATGTAATCATATGTATAATGTACATACATACATTTCCCTACAAGAACTGATGACTAATGCTCAAAAGCATAAAAACAGTGCCTGTGGAAGGATCACTAAGGATCTCATGGAGTAAAGAGTGTGTTTATTAGTACACTGCGTTTACATGACATAGCACAAGACATCACAGATCACAAATATCATAGAATAAAATACACATACATACATACCCTAACTTACCTTACATTACATACAAAGAAACATAGATACATACATACATACATACGTTACATACTACATTACATGGAAACATGCATACATTACACTACACTACATTACGTTACGTTACGTTACGTTACATTACATTACACTGCACTACACAACACAACACACACACAACACACACGCATACATACATGCACACATGCATTCATGCACACATACATACATTGACATACATACATACATACATACATACAT